CTTTATTGTAGTAGTTTTTTTTTTTTTGTCTATAAATTACCATTGTGGCAAGTTTTTATATGGTTCACAATATGAAGTTTTATTTTTGGGCAAATATTATTTAAATTATCTGCAGAATAAACACAATCATCAAACTGTAAATTTCGAGCTAGTGTACAACTGAAAGTTGACCATTTTTAATATGCATATTTAAAATGTACACTTTTCTGATTAAATTATAGTCTGGCTATATACAATTTAATATATATTTTTATTAAATTTATTTTTTTTAATTTTAGTTATTTAGTACTTAAAATGAGAATTTTGATGAAATAAATTTGACATTTTATAGTTTATTTCAGTCAATGTTTGTTTCAAAAATGTTTTTTGTGGTTATAGCTTTATTTAGTGATAATGACACTTATTAAAACAAATGGGAATTATAAGGATGCACCGAATGTTCGGCAACCGAAATTATTCGGTGTAATTATACAGTGTAAGTTACTTGGCAGTCTATGGGACAGTCACAAGCCTCCCGGTTTTCATCCAAAATATCTTAAATTGTGTTCTGAAGACGAACAAAGCTTTTAGGGGTTTGGAACGACATGGAGATAAGTGATTAATGACATTTTTCATTTTGGGGTGGAGTAACCCTTTAAGTTCACGGATTGTAGGAATGTTGTAATACCTTATCATACTGACTTTACAGCTTTGACTTTACTGGAATATAAAGGCCAGAGTTTATCCTGCAGGATTTGAATCTGACATTGTTTTACAGGTCAAAAAAAGTACACTTCCATAATGTACTTAAAGTGCTCTATTTTCGCGCGCTAATTTTGTACCCAATATACTAAAAGTGATTCTTTAGTACTTCTTAAGATCGACTAAGTGTACTCAATTTTGGGAAAAAATTTATTTAGTTACCACTTGAAGAACCCATCTTTCATACACTAGTACACTCAAGTGGTGACTAAATAAATTTTTTAGATACAGAGATAGTATGTTAAAAGCACATTTTAGTTCATATTCATGGTGTCCCAGAATAGCACAGTTGAGTACACTTAATCAATCTTAAGAAGTACTAAAGAATCATTTTTAGTATATTAAGTACAAAATCAGTGCGTGAAAATAGAGCACTTTAAGTACATTATGGAAGTGCACTTTTTGTTTTTAACCTGGGTTGTGTGATTTGTTTTATCCATAGGTTGAATTTGTGAAACGCGATGTTCCCGTCTTCGAGCTGGATGTCGGAAGGATCTCCGATGCTCTTCACGGAAGCCTGGATCCGTCCATTTTATCCATTTTTCAGGAGAAGACGCCGACGAACAGCATGGAGAGCGAGGCGTCGCTGCTGTCCGCTCTGACCGAGATGTTGGATAGCGTGGACGTCGAGACGCTGTCGCCATTCGACACGCTGCCAGACGCGGAGATCTTCTCAGCTCAGAAGGGTTCGGATCACACGGTTAGTCGACATGGACATGCTATCATTGTTTACTAGGGATGTAATGATATTATCAATATCGTGATATCGCGATAGCAAAACTGTCTCAATATTATCGCGGTCACAATCAATGAATCAACATTTATTGGCCAAGTATGCATAACATACAAGGAATTTTCTGCTGGTATGAGGCATCCCACACATAAAAAAACTAGTACAATGTTAAAAAATAGAATTTAAAGTCTTTATGGCTACTGGAAAAAGCTATTCTGAAATCTGGTAGTTCTCATGACGATATGAAACGATAGGTGTGTGTAGTTTTTAAAATATATTTAAACTTCTTATTCTAACATGAAAGGTGTTTAAAGTTGTGTTTTGGGTCATTATGCTTTGGCACAGTATCTCAAACGAACTCAAACCGAAAGCACAATATGCTTCATCTCTTCATCAAGTCTGTCTCAAAGTGAGCACACACTTGGTTCAGACGATCAGCTCGTGATCCGGTGTTTTCTGCGTCTCAGAGCGACTCGTTCACACAATGAATGCAGTCCACTCCTTTATTTCACCTGCTGTGAGTTTAGCGCGCGTTTGGGAACGCAGCAGACACCAGTTATGCTTTATTTTCACGGCAGATGATGACAGCGTTTCACTAGATTTGTAGTGAGACGTGTTTTTGTAATCCTGTTTTCACTGAAGCTGGAGTTTTCCTTCTAAATAAAAGCTTAAAGTGCAGCATGAATCGCTGACAGCTAGCGGTTTAAATGCAGTCCAGATTCACAATATCTCTCTCAAGTGTAGAAATTAGGAAAGAAGTATTGTTATTTCTCTACTGTAGTGTAAAGCTAAAATAATATACCTATGAAACATTCATTTGCATTTATTTTACAGTGCAACTGTTTTATAATATATGGCTATTACTGTTATTATTATTATTATAATAATTAGTTTATCTTCCTAAAACAGCAGTGCGAGTGTAATTTAGACTGAGACAGTAGATCACAAATAAAAAGAGGGTTGAGTCTCCTTTAAAGTTCAGCTACAAGTCAATTCACTGACTTTTTCTGATTTAAGTTTTCTTAGTTAAGAACATGGGTCGCAGCTCTTCATTCTGAACTCTCTAAGTGCATTAGATAGAATAATTAAACTTTAAAAATGTACAAAATTGTCATTTTTTTCCAATTCTTCATTTGTCACTTTTTTTTTAAAACATCGCAATAAATATCGTACTGTGGACTTTTATATTTTATTATTCCATGGTACTACAGACAGTAGTACAAATTGTGAAAGAGATGAAAAGACTAAATATTATATTAAATTATAATGTTATATATATATATATATAATCTGCAGTACATATATACATACAAGGAATTAATACTTGAAATATATTTGATTTAGTTAACAGATAAACAAGGGGAAAAACAGTGCGACAAGTAATGTAGCCTCGGCTATATACGCTGAGTTTCAGTTCATTTTTGTGACACGCTAAATTTGTTCACAGAAAGGAAACTCAAATGGCAGAAAGCGACATCCTATCGGTTTTCTTTATTTTACAAAAGCACAATGTTTTGTTTTCATTGTGAGTGTACGCAAATAAAAGCAGACCTTTATACAGTGATGCATTAGAGCCACAGAAAGACAAACGTTTCGCTGAAAATGCACAATATACAATTCATTACGTACATTAACAATGATTCGGGACAAATATAATGTAATTTAATGGTAAACTATGTGAATGGCGCGGCAGGATTTTCTGTCGGCTGCATTTAAATCCGCGTCTGAAGCAGTGTTAATTACGTTGACGAATAATTTTCGGCATAATTGTGGTCAACGACATTTTTTTCACCGACGACAACAAACTAAAACTCTTTTTGAATGACAAAAACTATGACGTAAATCTATTGACATTTTCGTCAACGAATAAAAACGAGACAAAAATGTTAGGGAGGGACGAGTTGGGAAGAGATTCATTCAGAA